TGCCACACCAGGACTCCGTATTGAAGTAGAATACAAAAATAATACTAGTTATTAGTTTATAGTTACAAAAAAGTCAGAAAGGTGAAGATACCTAGATATATGTAGGTATTTGTATATAGACAGAATACTGGTGTGGTGCTGTGGGTTACTGTACTTACCTTACTAATGTTGTTGTTCCCTCTATATACTTATCTATTGCTTAGCTGAAAGTTGGACCATGAGAGTGTGTTCCTTTCCAGACCTGAAGGGTGACTGAGGGCCGCAATCTCAGGTTCCTCCAGACTCCTGACCAGTCAAACTGGATTCATTTTTCTTTAAAAATTTTTTTTATTATTGTTCCTCATATTCTGCTGCTCTATCTGGTACCTTCTAGTGTGATCCCTTTCAGAAAAGTTGGTAGTGGTGGCTGGGTACCATCTAGTTCTTCTGGTCTCAGAATTGTGAAGACTGATGTTCACATGTTCCATTAGTGTGTTGGACTAATTAATTCCAAGCTTCTTCAATTCTTATCATTCTTCTTTTTTCTGAACATGGAGAGACCAATAGATTTTGCTCCTTATTTTGATGTCATATATAATTTCCATGATGTCTCTGTGTTTGAACCGTTTTTGAAGAATGAGGAATTGAAGGACAAAATACATATCTGATTGCCTCCATGAACACCTGCCTGTTCTGTCATGAGAGTAGAAGAACTGGATGGTGCCTGGCTACCATTACAGAATATTTGATCAAAGATTCTTTAAAAGAATCCTGATAAAAATTATGAAAACACAGAAGAGAATTCAAAATTCTCAATGGAAACCAGATTTTCTTGGGGCCATTGAAGTTTGATGAGCCCCTGACACTGTTGTCCTGAGATAATCTTCAAACTTTATGTCTTAAACCAAAATGATTTCCTGAAGTCTTCTTTGAATCAAAAAAAAAAAAAAAAAAAAAGTTAATTATAATTTTAAAAGTATATCTGCTCTGAGTATTGTGCTCTTTTAAATATCTAATTGAGATCAAATTCACAATGGCAGTTCAAGTTTGGATGGGAAGTCTTAGGGAATAGCAAATTTAAGATAACAGTGATGGAATAATGTAGAAGACGATAACGAAACTGGTAGGAGAGCTTACAGCAACCAAAATCAATAAACTGTACATGGAGAAACTGTTGAAATAGTGTGTTTTGGGCTGTGCATATTTGCACCCAAACATCAAATAAAAGTCTTTGCAGAAAGTTTAGTTCATCAGAACCTTTAAGGAACAATTCTCAAAGGGTTCTTAGTAAATTGTGTCAACCATTCTGAAAAAAGGGATTCACATATCCAGTTTATTCCTGCTTAGACATGATGAATGATACACTATTGACTCAACATCTACTAAAAATAATGAAGACCAATTTTTAGATTGGCCATTTGTTTTTACTATTGGGAAAAAAGAAGGGTAAAGTCTAGGGCGAGCTACCCAAAAAAGAAGGCAAGCATGGCCTTACTTATGCTTACTTACTAATCTGTAGTGAGCAATTCCACATGGGTTTCACCACATATGATCGTGGTGGTGCTGGTGTGTTGTGGAGTTGGTTCCTGTATAAGGTTCCAAAGCTACAAATTTTTATGGGAGCAGAAAGCCTCATCTTTCTCCTGTGGAACCACTGGTGGATTCAAACTGCTAACTTATGGTTAGTAGCCTAATGCATAACCCACTATGATACCAGGGCACCTTTACCATATATGAGAATAAGTCTAAAAATATTTCTAAAAAATCCTTTATCAAACAAAAATATCAAAATGTGAATCTATTGTTTCTTTACATATCCTCCATCTAGGTCTATACGCTTCTGAAAGTGTTTCCATTTCTCTAATGTTTCCCTGAAGAATTCTATGTTCTTTGATTTACATCATGTCAAAATGGCAGTTTTAACATCTTTGCGGGACTCAAATTGTGTTCCTTTTAAATGTTCTTTGATTTGGGGGAACATACAGAAATCGAAGAGGCAAGATCAGGTCTGTACGGTGGATGAGGTAAGATTC